AGAAAGGCATTATGCACGTGATAAGGGTCTGGTCTTGCCAGCTAACCATACATGGCCATCTTGAGTTCTGCTTGAAAATCGGTTATGGCTGCATGGATTTGCTCCCCAGACTCCTTATCTCACAATAAGACTGAGAATGGGAGAGAAATGTATGACAGGAAAACCATAGAGTAGGGACCTGGAGACATAGCTCACTTGTGTAGAGTTCATTCTGTTCTTATAGAGGACCCAAGTTTGGTTCCCAGAACTCACATAGGGTGGCTCACAACTACCCATAACTAATTCTAGCTTCAGAGGATACTGAACCTTTAACCTCTGTGGGCACCTGCATTCATGCACATGGATACACACACACACACTCACCACCCCTAAACAACAACAAAACCCCACAACTAATAAAAATGAATCTTTGAGGCAACCTCCCTCAGAGCAGATCAACCCAAGGACTGTGATGATCTCCTATGAAAAAGGACCCTGGAACACTTAATTGCTTCACTCACTACATCACAGCAAAACTAGTCCCTTACATTTGTCCAGTGTTTTTAACTTCTGAAGTATTTTCATATATTATCTAATTTTATCATTTTTATCTATCATACCTTCTTTAGCTCACACTACTTGCAAAATATATTTGTAGAGCAGAAGCAAAGACACCAAGAAGCAGTGATATTCTGAGTATGTTAGAAAAAAAAAAACTGTCTATGACAGGGCGGTGGCAAAATAGAACAAACTAAGAAAACGGAGGTAGTCACAGTCAATGGTGCAGCAGGGTGACCTCAGAATTTGAAGATAGGCTTAAAACGATCCTGAGTGTGAAAAAAAAAATCCCACCAAGATTTGGCTGCAAATGTGTTGATTACAGAGCCTCAGGAGAGACCCATAGATAACCACATTGACAAAGGTGGACCCACAGGATTACAATGTACTTGAAGAACAGCATGTGACAGAGAGGTGGTAGTGGACAAATGTCTTTTAAAGACTTATATTGCTAACATATGTCACTGTTTAGGTTCTCCTATCCACAACTGGGCAGAAGGGAAGGAAGGGATGAGGGAGCGAAGTTCACTTCTCACTCTCTATCCTTCAGAGCAGTGAATGGACAGCAAACAGAGCCAGGCAGACCAGGTAACCATGCATATGGTAGCCCCTAAGCAAGGAGACTCGGTTAAGAAGCAGAAGTCTGCTTTTCTACATGCACTTCGTTATTCTGCTTCCTTCAATTCTGAGTCTATGGTCAACAAGTAACTTCAGTTTTCTAGCTTCCCTGATCCAGGAGAGAAATGCCCCAGGAAGAGATAAGACTATTGTTTGATTACCTGCCAAGTATGTCATCTGAGAATTAATACAGTTAAAATATATTTATGTCTCTTTCACTCTTTTTTTTTTTAATTTGGAGACCCTTTAAATCTATAGAAAAGCAAAAGAAACAGCATAACAAATGTCTACTTATTTCTTTTACTAATTTGTTGATGGATATCCAACTGCTCCACTGCTGTGTACTGAAAGGTTTCCTTCAATTGAACTGAATTTGAATGTTAGTTGAAATCCAGTTCAGCTATGTATAGTGTGGGTTTATTTCTGGGATCTTTGTTCTGTTCCTTTAATGTGTCTATTTCCTAAATACAATACAATCTTCATTATTGAAGTTATCTATTAAATCTCAAAATTAGTAGAGTGATTTCTCTCACTTTATTTTTATCTTATAAAGTGTTCAGCTACTCTAGCTCCTTTTTTTTTTCAAGTGAGCTTTACTATAATTTTGTATATATCTTTAAAAATTCAGGTGAGCTTTCTGTTAGCAGCTGTGTTAAATCCATACATAAAATTGAAGAACAAACTTCTTTACTATGCTGAGTTCCAATTTATGATGGCACCACATCTCTCCATGTAGTTAGAGCTTCACTGATATCTCTAATCAGCTTGGTTGGGTTTTCAGCATATAAATCTAGTACCTGTTTGCTAAGATTCATACCTACTGTAATCCCAGCTCTTAGGAGGCAGAATTGTGGGTTCATGACCGTCTCCGCTACAGAGTGAGTTCTAGGATAATGTGATACTCAGTTTGAAAACAAACAAACATAGAACCCTAAAAACAAAACAAAAAACCTCTCGAAACTACAAAATGAAAACTGTATTTAAAATTTAGGCTTCTATGAACTCTCGATAGTACATAAAAACATGTTCACTGATAGTATGTAGAATAATTAAAGAGACATCATTTGAGACAGGTCCCACTGTGTTCCCCACACTGGTTATAAACTCGTGGGCTCAAGCAATTCTCCTGTTCCAGTTTCACAAGTGCTGGAACTACAGGTGACTGCTATCATGCAGAGCTAGAATTGATTTTTGTATACTGAAGTAAGCTGCAACTTTGTTATTAGTTCCAGGAGGTTTTTGTAGATTACTTGAGATGTCCAGTGTGCACAATTCTGTCAGTTACAAATAGAGTTATTTTTTTTCCCTTTCTGTTATGTGTGCTCCTGAGGTGCAGCCTGCTGTGTCTTTCAGCTATGACAGGCTGAGAACAGGGATGTTGGTCTCTTTTTTTTGTTTTCTATGCTATCTTTGTCTGGTTTAGGTGTCAGGATAATAACACCCTAATAAAGAAAGTTGGGAGGTGTTTCCTCTTTTATTTCCTGGAAAATTGTGTAGAATTGGTGTGAATTCTTCTTTAAATGTTTGGGAGTATTCTCCAGGGAAAACATCTAGGCTTGGAGGGTTACTTCCTTAGGGAGTGAAAAAGTTACAAATTCTTTCTTTAAGCTATAGAGATGTTGAAATTGTTTCCGATTTGGTGAATTATGGTAGTTTGTGTTTTGTGAAGATTTAGTCCATTTCATCTAAGTTGCTAGGTGTGAGCATGCAAATTTGTTTGCTGTGTTGTGTCTTCTGGTATCTGTAGGGTACGTGGTGACATCCTCTTTCATTCCTGATGTGGGTAATTTGTCTTCTACTTTTGTATTCATCAGCATCACTACAGATTTATCAATTTTATGATTTTTTTTTCCAGGGAAGCACTTTTTTATTTCACCAAGTTTCTTCTTATTGTTTTCTGTTTTGTTTATTTCTTCTCTGTATGATTTTTCTCCTTCAATGTGCCAGGTTTATTTACTCTTCTTTTCCACTTTGTTAAGGATAATGCTTAAAACTATTGATTAAAGACTATTCTTTTTTAATAAAAGAGCTAATTTTATAAATACTTAGTATTGCCTTAGCTGCATTTTATAAATTTTGAAGTATTGTATTTTAATTTTAATTCAGTTTAATGTACTTCAAAAATCTCTTAGACCCATGGATTATTTAAAAGTGTGTTCTTGGGTTTGTTAGTATTTAAAAACTATTCTCTTTCCTCATTGATTTTCTGATGATTTAACTTTGGCTAGAGAACACACCATTTGATTTTCTTCTTTACAATTGGTGGATTTTGTTTGATGAATCAAGATATGCTTCATTAAAATTTTTTATCCTTTTTCTATTATGTTGCTAAAATATATAAAACATAAAGTATGTCACTGTAACCAACTGAAGTGTATAATTTACCAGCATGATTAACTTTTATAAAGCTGTGCAAACATTATCACTATGTATTTATTAGACTTCCTCATCACTTCCTAGAGAAGTGTTGTGTCCATTAAGAACTATCCCACCGAGGGACTGCCTCTGACATAATCTGACTGGCCTGCTCTTTGATCACCTCCCCCTGAGTGGGGAGAGCAGCCTTACCAGGCCACAGAAGATGACAATGCAGCCACTCCTGATGTGATCTGATAGACTAAGATCAGAAGGAAGGAGAGGAGGACCTCTCCTATTAGTGGACTTGGGAAGGGGGAGGGAGGGTGGGACCGGGAGGGGAGGAGGGAAGGGCTTATGGGGGGATACAAAGTGAATAAAGTGTAATAAAAAAAGAACTATCCCTTACAGCCCTCAGCTGCTGGTAATCTCTAATCTACATTCTGTCTGTGAATTTTTCTGCTGTAGATACGACACAGAAGTAGAGTCATACATTATTTAGAGTCTTGTAACTGCTTTATTTTATTTAATGTATTGTTTTTAAAGTTTATCTGTGTTATAGTACATCAAAACTTTATTTCTTTTTATTGTTTATATTTAATTCCATGTTTAGATCACATTTTCTTTAACTTCTTCGATTTCTTTACGGATGGCCATAATCTGTTTGATTTTATCTTCCTCTAATTCTTTATATATATATATATATATTATCCTAGAAATCACTAGTTAGATCAGGCTGGCTTTGAACTCAGTACACATCCACCTGCCTCAAACATTTAGGAGATAGGCCCTATCTAGAGAAAATAGGTGATTAGAGAATGCGTGTCTGTTAGAGCAGTTTCTATACTGCTCACACCATTTGAATAGTCACCTCACCTTCTTGCTGCCACCATCATGAGATGCTCCACCTGGCATATCTTCCCTGTCACAAATTGTGAACTAAAATACTTTCCTTAAAGTGGTTCTTGTCAAATATTTGTTCACAGAGAAAATTAGTAAATATAGATGTTAGGAATGTATTTGTGTAGAAAATAAAAGTTATATATCTCCCAAGGTAATTTGTTTGCTTCTAGATACTTGTCCATTTCATTCAGGGTATACAATTTGTTAGCTTACAATTACTAATAGCATTTTATCTTAATACTGTTCATGTGTGTAAGATCAATAACTAGCAACAAGATTTTGTTATTCATTCATTTATTTATTTTTATGTATGGATGTTTGAGTATGGGTATGTGCACATGAGTATGGCACCTATGGAGGCTACAAGAGGATACCATATCTCCTGAAACTATATTTACAGGCTGTCGTGAGTCTCCTGATGTGTGAATTGAATTCTGGTCCTCTACAAGGGCAGCAACTGTTCTTTACCAATGAGTCATCTCTCCTACTCCAAATCAATCTTTCTTTCTTTCTTTCTTTCTTTCTTTCTTTCTTTCTTTCTTTCTTTGTCAGAAACAGATCTTTATTTTAAACTCTGATCTACCAAGTTAGCATTTTCCACCAACTTGGGGAGCAGAGACATTCACAATCATTTGTCTAGGTGCTGCCTTTGTGGGAGTCTTGGCTGCAGCCATTGCTATCTTTTTTGATGCCTGCTTAGCCATTTTTGCTTCTTTGGTAGCCCTAATAGCTTGTTTTCGCAGAGCTTTCCTAACTCCTGGTTTCTGATTCTTCTTGCCTATTGTATCAGCAAGAGATGAACCGGTGATGCCCTGCTGGAGCTGGAATTTGACTGCATGGTATGTTCTTTTATTTTGAATTTGTTCTGACTGTTCCTTCTTGTGTTTTCTTCTGTAGAGGACAGTCTAGTTTATCTGCTAAGGATTCCTTCTGGAAAGAAATGCATGGAGAGGACCTAAAACCCCAGCTCAGATGTAGCCCATAGACTTAGTCTCCAAGTTGGTTCCCTAGTAAAGAGAACAGGGGCTGTTTCTGGCATGAACTCAGTGGCTCTTTAATCACCTCCTCCTGAGGGAGGAGCATCCTTGCCAGGCCACAGAGGAAGACAATGCAAAGAGTGCTGATGAGAGCTGATGAGAGCTGATAGGCTAGGGTCAGATAGAAGGAGAGGGGGATCTCCCCTATCAGGGGACTAGGGGAGGGACATAGGGGCAGAAGAGGGAGGGAGGGTGGGACTGGGAGGAGACAGTTGAGGGGGACACAGCCAGGATACAAATTCAATAAATTGTAATAAATGATAACAATAAAATTTTTTTAAAAAGATAAAAAGAAATGCAGACTTGTATTTTGCATTAAGAAACTGGAAAACCTTCCTGTTGGTCCTGGCATAGCGCCACCCATGTCCAGGGTAGATCTTGTACCCGATGAACTGCACAGCTTGGCCTTCAAAGTGATCAGATCAATATTTCCTGATTTTAGCTATTTGCATATTTTCTATGTCACTCTAGCTGGAAGATATTTTTCAAATAAACAACTTTTATTTTTACTGACTTAATTTTTTTATTCTCTGTCTCATTTACCTCCATTCTAATCTTTATTTCTTTCCTTCTGTTAAGTTTGGCTACAGTTTTCTTTTTCTGGTTTGTCTAGTGCAAAAGCAGGCAGATTACTGATATGTGTATAGTCCTTGATGAATTTCCTAACTGCAGGTATATTATGCTTCTGCTTTCATTCATCCCAGGATATTTTCTAATTTCATTGGTGATTTCCTCTTTGACTCATCCATTGATTGTTCAAAACTATATTTCATTTAAAGAAATTCGCAAGGTTTTTCTTTCCTTCTGTTGCTAATTTTTAAAAGGAGTTTTAAAGCTTTATTCCATGGTATTCCTTGCATGACATCTCTCAATCCATCCTTCCACAATCATGGCCTCATACATGTGTGACAGATACTCCATCTCGAAGTCACATCCTCAGCCCCTGACTTGAGATCTTTTAAAATGTATCGATACTTGTTTTGACCTAACATATAGCCCACTGTGAGGAATGTTACAGTTCTTTCCTATCTACATGAGCTATCTATTATTGAAATAGTGGACTAAAGTTTTCAAGCATTATAGAACTAATTCTCTCCAGCTATACTACTGTTTGCTTTATATATATGGAACTGTTGTTTGGTGTCTAGAACTGTTACATCTTCTCATGAATCAGTCCCTTTACTAGTATATAATGTCTATCTTTGTTTTTTCCTAACAATTTTAAAGTAATTTTGATTTGTCCAATATTAGGTTAGATACTTTAGGTTACCATTTGTGTGAAATTTTTTTTTCCTTCCTTGTCACTTTTAACTGATTGGATCACTGGATCTAGAAGTGGGTGTTTTATAAAAAACATATATTTAGATTGTGTTTTCTTTTTGAAGCAGGCTCTTAGTGTATGTGCCTGGCTTGCCTTCAAATTGCTATGTAGACCAGGCTGGCCTTGAACACATAGAGAGCCACCTCCCTTTGCCTTCGGTTTTCTGGGATTAAGTATGTGCACCCAGTATTTTTTAATTTTTAGATAAAAATGTATTCTTCAAATTTCTTTTGATTTGGGGGACTTTAATCTACTTATATTTATTTTGTTTGTTGATTAGGAAGGATTTGTTTTTCTCTGTATTTTCTACCTAGTTTTATCTCTCATTTCTTTCATCACAGTTTTAAATAGTTGATTATTTGTAGAAAAACATTTTGGTAAATTCTGTATGTTTTTAGTACCTATCATGAATATTACCTTTAACATACTAAATTTATTATAATCTAGTTTTAATTGAGACCAACTTTATTTCTGCTTATTTTCAACCACTTCCGTATAATAGTATTGTTTTCACAAGTCATTCACTTATACAGTGTGTGCATAATAATAGATTTATAATTGTTTTTATGTATTTGTTAGATATACAATCTGGCCTTTCTTTTCTTTAGTTCTGTAAGTGCAACCTCTAAAATGATGAGCCAAATGTATCTTTCCCCTTTAAGTTGCTTATCTCAGGTGTTTGTCAAAACAAAACTGACTAGCACATACACGGTGGATAGGGGATTACCATGGTTTAAATATTCTTTTAATTTATCTGGGCGTGGTGGCACACACCTGTAATCTAAGCACTCAGAGATGTAGAGGCAGGTGTATCTCTGTTAATTCAAGTCCTGGACTACAGAGTCCAGGACAGCCAAGGATACACAGAGAAACCCTGTCTTGAAAAAAAAAAAGAAAATATTCTTTAATTTAATTTTAACGGTATTGGAAATGGGGTTGGTTATTAAGGGACTGTAAATGTGGGGATGGGCTACTTAGAACTGGAATGGATTTATGATAAAAAGGATGAGTTTAGCCTAACTTTTGTCTTTCTTTCTTATGTTCACTTGTAAGGACAAGTGTTATCATGTTATCACACATCATAAAACAAAGACCCTCACCAGATGAGGGAATCATGCTGTTAGACTCTTCAATCTTCAAAACTTGTTTATAAATGACCACATCTACAGTACAAAATAACTGTCAGTTATAGAGGTGATTAGAGCCCATGCAGACAAAACAGTAGGAAAAGGTAGCATAGATGTATCATAAATTGAATTAATAAAACATGTTAGAATTGTTTTGGATTATGTGATGTTTACAGTAACTTTCAGCTTTTTACAGCTTTCATATTACTTTTTTTCTCATCCTAAATAGCTACTTGTACTAATTTTATGTTCACAATTTTGTTATTTTTAAATAGCCCCCTGCCTCTGGCTGTACAGCTTCCTAAACCCAGGCTGTCAAAACTCAGGTCTGTCACTGCCCTCTGTGTTTAGATTTAAACTAACAATTCTGTGTCCCTCTATCTCCCCTATTCTGGCTCTTCCCAGTGTAGAAACTGGGTCTTTACGTCTGGTTTTATCATGATTGGAAGAATGCTGATACACTGTCACCACTTAATGAATGATTGTTGGTTGAACTAATGAACTAACAAATGAGTTTGAAAAAGCTATAAGGTCTATGTTCATTAGCTGAGGAAGTGAGAGGTCTGGGAGATTAGCTCTCAGGATTTGAGTGAATGAACATAGAGGCAAAAGGTGGGAAGTCAAAGTGACTCAAGAATGTGAGCTCTGCAGTCACTCCTGGGATAGAAAGCGCTGCCCACAATGAGCCTTAAATGCAATCAACATGCTAGCTGCCAAATGGGTGCAACAAAAGCCTCCTGTACTGTTCAAGTAGCTTTGCTGAATTTCTCTTATTCCCATCTAGTATTCACTTAGTAGCTGCTGGACCATGGGGGAACTAAGGATTTTTCTTTTACAGATGTAGAACTCAAGATTGTTATGTAGAATTTAAAATTGTTAAGTAAAATCTATGAAAACATCTAGCAAAGTATCATGTACATAGTAGGTGTTTAATAAATGCTATTTCTTTTTTATTTCCAGCGAGGTCTGCTAGTTCCCTTTAAAGAGAGGATTTCCTCATCTTCTCATGTTCTTATTCTTCTTTTTACTTCTCTAATGATACATTATCTTTTTCTTTACCTTGAAAGAATCCCATCTTCTTACAGGGATATTCTTCCTCCCTTGGGATCTCTTTTGCGTGTGTGTGTGTGTGTGTGTGTGTGTGTGTTTATAAGGCTGTAAGGCTGTAAACCTTTAGGGTCAGCAAACATCTCCTCTTTTTAGGACAATATCCCATAGTTATTGTCATGAACTACATGGAAGTTTACAAGGCTGGTTATTGATTTAGGAGTAAAGGGTCTCATGATACAATCCCATCTGGCTCCAAACTCAGAATTCTACCTCATCACCATACCTACCTACCTTTTATTTTATTTTATTTTATTTTTTGTAATAGTAAATAGGGAAGGAATGTGGTTTTAATTTGTATTAAAATTGTTTCCCCTGGCACTATACTTAGAGCAGAAGAAGTTAAGTGGCAAACAAGTGAAAGTCTCTAAAATATTTTTCAACTAATTCCTCTGATTTTATTAATGGTGTAATCTGGGGAGGATTGGACATAGAGCAACTAGTACGCTGCCAGAGTTTAAATCTGTCTCCTGCTATGGTACTACTTGGGAGAAAGAGATGATTCTTTTACACTAAGGCCAGGAAGTGTCATTTTAGAAGGGGCGTCCTTCATAGAAGTGCATGCTCGTGGGAAATAACCATGGGATATCATCCAAAAAAGGAGAGAGGCTTGCTGGCCCTAAAGATCAGAACAGAGCATGATACTGCCAAACACTTTTGGGTTTCTTTTGGGAGGGGTGTTGAGACAGGGTTTCTTTGTGCAGCCTTGGCTGTTCTGGGCTCACTTTGTAGGCTGTCCTCAAGCTCACAGAGATCTGACTGCCTCTGCCTCCCCAAGTGTTGGGATTACAGCTGTGTACCACTGTGCCTGGCTCACTTTTGGGTCTTTTAAAGCACACACTGCCAATTCTATTCTGAGTGGGTAAAATTTAGGCTGGAAACTCGCTTTATGGGGCATGAGTAGGAAGAGTGGAATGGGGAAAGGGACTTATCTAGGAATGAGTTAAGCTCTGATGATGAAAGCAAGCATGCAGTAGCTGCCGCTCCGCCACAGTCACATGCTGCAGTTGCCAGGGTCTCTTTTGTCCAGGTGTCCAGCTGAGGGCTTGGAGGTCATTACTGCTGCTGCTTACATTTTGTTAAGTTGTCAGCATCCTCAGTTGGGGGGATCAGCTCTCTAGACACCATTCATTTGGGGCAGGGGTTCGGGGACATGCTAAGGAACATTCTTGGTTTATAAAAGCCATGAAAAATGCACATCGACTGAAATTTGAGAAGTTGATTGCTGTTTCTACAGATAGAAATGATCCATGTTAGCTCTCTATCCTTTCTTTCTCCTGACTTTAGAGAGTCATAGTATACTGTGAACTTGGGCTTTGGACCTCACCTCCCTCACTAGAAACTTAAACTCCATTCCTCTCACCTAAAACCCCTCCTTACTTCATTCAGTCAACAAACTTGTGGAAGTCATTTTCCTTAAAACAAGCACCTTCCGTTGGCATCACACTCCTGGGATACTGACTAGGAAAATAAAAGCTCAAGAGTCTGCCATTTTCCCCTTAAAATGGCGTTTTCCTATTTCCTGTTACTTTCTCAAAACACTAGAAACTAAAAGCTGGGTTATGAATAGCATAACAGTGAAGCCTTTCCTCACTCCCATCAGCCATCATTGTCATGGCTCTAATAGCACCACTAGTATTGTACTTGGCAATGTGAAGGGAACTCATCTATTTACTTTACATTGTAACCTATATTTTTGTGTTCTTTTGTTTCATGAGTTCATGAAAGGAGGCCAATTGGCATTTATTTCAGTGTCCCCAGAAAAGAAAATTTCTTATTAGGTGTTCAGTAAGTGCTGAGTGGGAGAAAAGAGTTCCCGACAGCTCATGAAGCATGACCACGTGCCAGCTGATGTTCAGCCCCTGCTACATCCTTCCAAGATGAGGAAAACAAAAGTTTGCAGCTTTCAAGGAACTTCATCACTGTTTGCTATCAGAACTTTGATTCAGATGTGCCTGATTTCAGTGTGCCTCCTCCCTGTGCTGTCTCTGTTACCTTTTCTCTACATTCAAACTTTGTTCCTACCAGTCCTCTGGGGCCTCTTCATAGCATATCCCTTTGATAATTTCTGTTTCACAAAAGAAAACTAAACCTACTTATGGATCCAACTTGCGATATACTTTCCAGGCCTCTTCTGATTGTCTCACTTGGCTGTGTTCAACTTCCTCTCCAATTCTTGTCAGTTACTTACCTAATATTGTTTATCAGGTTCTAAGAAGAACTTTACATGCATTAGATTTCTATTCAATCCTCAAGCAGTTGAGGCTTAGAGAGGTAGAGTAACTTGCCAACTGTCATATGGTTGCTAAATGGCAGAGCCCACAGCATAGAAACTCATAACAGATTGGGTCCGGTTATGATTTTATCACTGTGATATATTGTTTATCTCTGTGATTCTGTTTTTTAAAAACTTCCCATGTGAGTTTGTTTTTAGTGGTTCCTTAATGAAATTCTCCATAATTTTCTCATCGGCCCTATGGTCAGCCTTTCCTACAGTATCCATGGATAATCATTGTCATCCTAATAATTGTAACTACCTCTCACGTGCTTTTACTATTGAGATCTCTACCCAGTCCTGCCCCATCTTTAATAGATTCCTGTGGGAGTCTTACTGGCACTAGTACTTGGCATAAAAAATGCTCTGTTTTTAAGTGTTCATCCCTGTATTCATTATATAGTCACATCATCCAGTTACCCAAACCAGAAAACATGGTGAAATTCTAAATTTCTTCCTCTCCTTTGCCCCCAGAATTCAATTAATCACCAAGTTGTGCTAATGCAACCTCCTAAACATTTCTTAAATCTTTTCCTCATTTCTAACTTCAAGTTCTTTCCCCCACTTCCCTGATGTATTACAACTGTCTCCAGCCAGCAGGGCCTCTTTAAATCATCCTGAGTCATCTCTCTGAAACACAGATCTGACCACGTCACTGCCCTTCCATGACTCAGCCTTGCTAACAGGTACAGTCTCCGTTCGTTAAGATGACATTTGAGATTTACTGTGGTGAAGAGCTAAAGTACTGAGATTGAATCTCAAAGTTGATAGTGTGACACTCTGGACAAAGGATCCTGTATCCCTGTCTCCATTTCCTACTTGTGTTTTAATTGTGAGGATTAAGATATCCATATAAGATACCCAACATGGTGCCTGATATTTAAGTACTCAGTAATTGTCAGCTGCTGCCAATATCATATATCTAGTCTTATTTCCTATTATTTTCCATCTTCAAATCTGTGTTCTTGGAATAGTGTGTTGCTTATAGTTTCCTAAATGCATCGACATGTTTCACTGATCTGAACCTTTCAATCACTGCTTCCTTCCCTTCCTTTGTTTTCATACATTTTCCTAGCTAATATTCATTTCAGTCCTTAGCCCAGACATCGTGTTTACAACATCTTTCCTGACCTCTAACCCACTCTCCCGCCCAAGTCAGACTAATTGGCTCTCTTCTGTGACTTTATAGACTTTGTGCACGCTTCTGGACATTTAACACAGCCAATTGAAGCTGTCTGTTTTTACTCCTTTTTATCTTCAACATGTACCACAGGCCCTGGTTACACTATGTGCTTAATCAATCTATTGAACTGAATGGCTTCACATTTCATTGAAAACCTAGTTAGGTTTCCTAATTGTGGTTCACTGGATCAAGGAAGGAGTATCCCCTTCCCCTGTAGTAACCTAGTCTTTCTTTCATCAGCACATATGTCAGTTCTATAACTAAATTATATAATTCTTCCCATCTCCATGGTCACCAACATTTTTATCGATCAGCACCAACCTCTCTCACGGTTGCTACACTTCCATTCCATTGTCTTGGCAGCTCCACCGAACTCCAAACAACAAGTAGTTTTAAACTGTATATTAAATCAAGTAGAATTCGAAAGAGAGCAAGGAAGGGTATATGGGAGAGTTTGGAGGGAGAAAAGTGTAGGAAGAAATGATGTAATTATATTATAATCTCAGAAAGATCATCCATTAATCCTGTTAAAAGCCTTCAATGGCTCCCCAGTCTGCTAAGAACGAGATCCAACTCTTTGCCATGGACTACAGATGCCACAGGATCTGATTTGTTGTCTCCTCCATCTCAGATGTCTAGTGCCTTTCCTGGCAGCCCCAGTCACCTTGGTATTTTTCAGTATCAAGAATATGCCAAGCTCCTTTTAGCCTCAGATTCTGTGGACATGGCTGCTATATTAGTTACTATCCTCATTGCTGGAATGAAATGTATGACAGAAGCAACTTAAGGAAGGATATATATGGCTTACGAAGAAATACAGTGCATTGTGGTGAAGTCATGGCAGCAAGAGCAGGAGGTAGACGGATGTGCTTACTGTTTCCAGAGTTAGGCAGTAGAGAAAGGAGAATGCTGGTGCTCACCCCTTTGCCTTTTCACTAAGTCTGAGACTCTAGCTCATGAGATGGTACTGCCACATTCAGAATGGATCTTTACTCTTCAATTAAATCTTTTCAGAAATACCCTCATGGACATACTGAGAAGTATGTTTACTACGATTCTAAATCCAGCCAATCTGACAATTAAGATTGACCAGCACAGTTGGCTACTCAGCCTAAATCATATGCCTTCTAGTGTGTGTGTGAGAGAGAGAGAAAGTGTGTGTGTCTATATGATTGCATGTGTGTGAGTGTATGGGTGCGTGTCTGGGTTGAGTACGAATGCATGGGTGTGATTGTGTCTGTGTGAGTGTGTGTGTCTTTGTGTGTATATGTAAGTTTAGCCAACTTTTTCTTAGCCTTTAAGTTCTATCCTTAAATGGAATGTCACATTTTCAGAAAGGCCTAGTCTAGTTACCCAATTTAAATATCTTTGTTAGTGTGTGCAAAATAATTATGCCTTTATGACATTTACTGCAGCCCATAAATTTAAAAATTACACATTTTAGTTAATTTTCTTTTATTTACGTGTGTGTGTGTGTGTGTGTGTGTGTGTGTGCGTGTGTGTGTGTGTT